CCTGCCCTCCCTCCCAGCCCGGCCGCCGCCCCGACCTTCCCGGCCCTGCGGCCACGAAGGGCTGCTTCTGCATAAAACGCGTGCGGACGCCTGCGGGGCTCGGAGCGGGGCCGGAGGGCGAGCGCGCCGCCTTACCCATTGCTGTCTTAGCCATCGCGGCGGAGGCGCAGAGGCAGGGCGCGGCGGAGAGGGGTCCGGCTGCGGCAGCGAGGGCGCGGCGAGCGGAGACTGAATAAGGCACTGAGTCTGCAGAGGGGGACCGTGCTAGAGAAAGAGCAGGAGGCAGGAGCCCATGAATAATTATCACGCAGAAGCTCAAGCAGATTGGCTCCCACGGTCCCCTGACACGACTCCAGCAGAGCCAGAATCTCCAAGCATTAAATATTGATCGGCCAATGGTGCTGGAGTATCGAGTACCAGAATGCGGTTTGAAATGGAAATCCGCCCTTCCTGGGAGCTCCCCCCGTTTTGGGGGCCTGATAGTACAGTCCAAGCAGACGGGCGCTTTACCCTGGCAGCCTCTTAGCAGCGGAGGCTGGGCTGCGCCTACCTGTGCGCCAGGAGCCTCGACTCCGTGCACACACGTTTCCTTGGCACAGATAGACAGGAAAAAGGGAAGGGGATTCAGAGGCCGGAGAAGTCCTCGCAATATGTGAGCTGATGGAAAAATGTTGTAAACACCGTGCTATTTTTATCACTGTTTCAGGTTTTCTCTCCCACCTTTGGCCCTGTCCTTGGTGGGTTCTGGTCTTCCGGGGCTGGCCCGTGTCTGGCGGTGCCGTCTTTTCAGAGCGGACTTGCACACCGTCCTTTATTCTCTAGCGCAACTGGGCTCGGGTCCTCGGAGCTCACAGGGCCCTCAAGAGCCGGAGGCCTGCTGTTTTGTCCTCTTGGCAGGGGCGAAGGGGCCGGTGTCTGCTTGGGAATAGGACAGTGACTATGGGCCACTTGGGGAGCTAGTGAAAAAGGCCGAGTTTATCCTTCTGCATTCATGTCCTGCCCTCCTGGTACCCGGGCACCGGGAGCCACTGGTGGATGCTACCCCGCCCTAGAGGGTAGCACTGCAGCCCTAGTGACTTTCCGGGACCCTGAAGGGGACTCTTTACACCGAGAGCTTAGAGATGAAAGATCTGCTCTGCAGCATGATCTTCCTGTGGTCTGGAGAGACTGTTGATCCAGGCCAAAGAAAGTTGCAGATGGAGTAGTGTGATATGTAAGGATCTCAGAGGCCAGCTGTGACATGTGGCTTCATTACAAGCAAGGGGTTCATGAATGCACTCCTTTACATTTGATGAATGTCCGTCATCAATGCGTTCTCCTCTAACTTGAATATTTATTGAACATTAACCACTTACACAGTGTCGAAGATGGAGGCAGTGGGGGAGCACTTCAGGACTCGCTCCCATGGAAGTTTTAATACTGTTAAATTAATTTTTCTGTAGCTTCACTGAGCTGGTCCAGGCCCATGCAGGAATTGCAGTTTTGACATAAAAAACAGGCAAAGAATCACTAATTCCAATGTATTTGAAACCTGAAAGAACAGCACGTGGTTGCAATCATAAACATGTATAAAATTCTTTTAATGTAAAAATTAAGATTTTTTTATCATTAATGAAATAAGCTCTTTTTTAGCAGCGTCTTATCAGACGACACCTTAAAATTTCAGTTAGTGTTAGGAGCCGTATGCGGTTTCTGCGTTTGAAAACCGGGAGAGCACTCTCCTTGGTGCTGAAACAGATTTTTTCACCTCCGAGGAACTTGTAAAGACATTTTAACTCCAGGGACGGTTTGCGAAAAGGAAGCTTCCGGACCTAGAGCAGTTCTGACCTGCTGAATCATGGGGAAAGTAAAAAATGCAGTGAAGATCAATAAAATTATTTTCTGAACGGAAGATTAGAAATTATCGTTCTGTCATTGTCCAGATCTCGACTGTGGCACCCCAAGAGCGCGATGTGGAAATTGGCAGGGTCTGGAAATGAATAGCCATTTTCTCCTCCTTTATAGTCATTTCGCAGTGTAAACGTAAGGGCTAATTCCCTCTCGGAGGAGCACTTACCGTCACAGGATGAGGGATCTTCGCACGCTGCGTGACTGATTCCCTTACAGGGTTGTCTCCTCCCCATCCAGCCTTCCTGCTCCGCTGCGTACATGTCCACATGTTCCTCTGCTTCCGTGGAGAGGAGCCGGGCCCCAAGTCATGGCAGTAACGTCGGTAACAGCCACAACTGGCAGTTCAGCGAGATCTATTTCTCTTCGGTTACTATAAGAAGACAAAGCAAAACTGTCCTTCTACTGTCCTTATTTTTCATTCTGGTGAACATTACTTATTGATGAGTGTGAAAGAAGGGAGGTCAATATTAGTAGGGGCAAATACAGCAGCACGATTCTTTTCTATTTTGACTTTCTGGTGCTAACCACTTCACTCCAGGTATATATGATTTTTCAGATAATGTGAAATTGGGGAGGGGATAGGCTCATGTGTTTATTATAAAATATAAAGACGGCAGGCTATTGTTAACTGGCTAAGAAAAGCTAAATAAATTCAAAGAGCTAAGTCATTATCAGTTCTTGTTTTTTATTTTAATATTACAAAGTGCTGTCATGCATCTTGGCCTGGGAGAGTAAGGCAAGCAGCAACAGAGAAACTACTGCGTACTCAGTAGGTTGTTTGTTCACTCACTCACTCGTTTCTTCAGCCAATTCATTCATTCAGCGAATATTTTTTTTTTTTTGTTTGTTTTGTTTTTTTTTGGTTTTTCTTCGGTACCGGGAACCGAACTCACGACCTTGCGCTTGCCAGGCAGGTGCTTTGCCGCTGAGCTAAATCCCCAGCCCCTAGCGAATATTTTTTTAAATGAAGTTTTAAGCTTTTGTGCAAAGAATTCAGCCATATTTCCCCTAATGTCTAAAAAATAGAAAATGAAGACTGTAGCTTCTATCTGTTTAAGAGATGTTGTGGACTTTTGGTGGCAAATAGTAGGAAATACACAAACGTCAAACTGGTTCCGATTATAAAAGGGAATTTGTTGGCCCATCTGCTTAGAGAGTGGGCTCTGGCCTGATTTTTCTGAGGTGAATGGTTTTGATGGCTACTGATAAACACCCAAACTAGTTGGAACTAGGTAAGTCCAAAGTAGAATAAAACAGTAGATCTATCTTGAAGAGATTTGGGTTCACATAAGGGTTATCGTATCAACATGGATATTTAATAAATTGTAGGTCTTATTACTGTATTTATGTTTTTCAATACATCTAAACTATCTTTTTGCAAGAAAGAAATAGCTTTAGTGTTCAAATAACAAAAGGACATGAGTTACAAGGACAGTAGTAGCAGATTAAACTTCATGACAGGTGGAATTTTTTAAAAACATAAACAAAGCCTGCAGGTAATCTATCACAAATAGTAAGGAATAGATTGCTAACCTGACTATGCGTTCAAAACAAAGAACAGACATTCCTTCCACGGACCCACTGATCATTTACTGAAAATGCCCATCAGACCGCAAAGAAAATAATATGAGGTGCTTATCTTGGTGCATGTGTACCTGAACCTCTTGTCCAAGCTCTCCACACACATTGACTAAGTCCCAACAGTTCTTCACGTGTGTGTACTGTTAGTCCCAGTTTTGCACACAGGAAAAGGAAGGCGCAGGATGCTCAAGTCGTTTGTGCCAGGGTCACACAGTGCCAGTAACCAGCAGAGGTGAGGTTTGACCCAGATCACCTGGTTCCCACCATGTGGTCCCTTTTAGTTTTTCTTTTTGAGATAGGATCTTACTGTGTAGTCCAGGCTGCCCTTGAACTCACAGTGACCCTCCAGCCTCAGCCTCCTGCATACTGGGATTATAAGCTTGTGCCACCATGCCCAGCTGTCTTGGTTACTTTTCTCTCATTGCTGTGACAAAATACCTGATGCCCAAAATTAAGGAAGGAAAGGTTTATTTAGCGCACAGCCTGTGGAGGTTTCAGTCCATACTCAGCTGGCTCCAAGGCAGGGTGCACATGGCAGAGGGCAACAGTTTATGGCTGTGGAAAACAGCAAACGTAACAAGAGTAAAAGGGAGGAGCATGGCAAGCAGCCTCTCTCCCTCCCTTACCTTGTATACAAACTATCCACCCTAGAGCGGGTGTAGCACTCACACCCATAATCCCAGTATTGGACCATGACTCAGTCATAAACCCTAGAAGCCCACCCCATGACTGCATGAGGCTTTGGGGGGACGCCCAGACACAAACCATAGCACCAGCTTCCATACTGTGCGCCCTGGCAGTGGTGGGGATTGAACCCATGGCTTGTACTGAGCTACATCCCCAGCCTTTAAAAAAACCCTTTTTTTACTGATACATTTTACATACACATAATGATAACATCCACATAGGGAATTTGTACCTGTACGTGGTATGTCTTGCTTTTTCCCTATTCACCTCCTCTCCCTTCATCTCTGTTCCCCTCCTTATTTAAAAAAGCTGGATTTTTATTATTCCCTTCTATTCTCTTTTTTCTAGTCCTTTCTCTCTTTCCACCTCCACTTCCCTTGTCCCTTTATCATTTGAACATTTGCTTCCTGTTTCCCTATATTTATTGTATATCTTGGTCCTTGTTTATACTTTCAGTTTATCATCCCAGAGAAACAATGCAGTTTTTAGACACGTGTGTCTGATTTATTTCACTTAAGAGTATGGGCTCAAGGTGCATCCATTTAGCTAGAAATGTCTCCAGCTTATCCTTCTTTATGACTGAGTGGTACTCAACCATATAAAAAATCATTTCTTCTTTATCCATTCATCAGTTAATGGGGCTTTGGGCTGTTCACAAGCTTTAGCTATTACAAACTGTGCTGCTGTAAACATGGGTGTGCATATATTACTGTGGTGTGATGCTTTTAGTTCTTTTGGGAAGATATGAAGAAGGGGGATAGCTGGGGAGAATGGAACCTCTAGTTTTAGTTTGTTGAAGAGTACCCACACTGATTTCCATAGTGGTTGCACCAGTCTACACTACCACCAATGGTGGAGAAGGATTCCTTTTACCCACAGCCCCTCCAAAATTTGTTATTGGTTGGCTTCTTCATAATAGCTGTTCTTTCTGAGGTAAGATGGAATCTCAGCATCGTTTTAATTTGCATCTCTTGAAAGACCGGTGATATTAAACTCTTTTCATATATTTATTTACCATTTGCATTTCTTCATCTGAGATGTGTCTCTTCATTTCAGATGCTCATTTTTGGATTGGGTCTTTAAATTTGGTATTTTTGAGTTCTTTATATATTTTAGATATCAGTCCTTTGTCTGAGGAATAGCTGGTAAGATATTTTCCCCATTCTGTGGGTTGTCCCTTCACTCTGCTGGTGGTTTCTTTTGCTTTGAAAAAGCTTTTTAAAAAGATCCAATTGTTGATTCTTTGTGATAGTTCCTGATTGGTGTT